TAAAAGCCAGGTAGTTTATTTATTCTTACACTTTATAATTTGATCTTAGTAGACCACATCCATTTGCAAGACTTGAAGGCATCACTCAGATAACAGTTCTGCAATGTCTCCCGAGCTGCAGCCTCAGGTGTCTGCCGTCTCCGGTACATCTCCAATGGCCTTATTAACCAACACATCCTGGAGGGGCAGGCATTTATTTCACCTAGCAATACTGGAGTACTCAGTGTTGCTCAGCTCTGGCTCTCACTTCCCACTAACACAGACCTGGGAGGTAGGGGACATGGCTCCGGCAGCTGGGTCTTTGCCACCCATGAGAGAAACCTGGATTGAGGTCCTAACCTGCTTTATTTCAGCTGAGGCTGTTGAGGCCATCTGGAGAGTGAACCAGTAGATGCAAGTGTTCTTATTTCCTCTCCTTACTTCTCCACTTCTCAAACAAATTACTACTAATTTTTAAATTTATATTTGACAAAAGGTCCTGGAACAAACTATTTTTCTAACCCCAAGATGTCCATTTCCTCATTGGATGATCTGATTTCCAATCAGTCTAGACCTGTCCACAGATTTCTTCCAGTATCTTCTACCCACTCAAAACAAAAAATAGACCACAAGATAAAATATTCATCTGCCTGGAAATGGTAAAGACTGTAAAAGTCTAACATGAACAGAACTAAGGAAGCTGTAGAAGTCTGCTGCAACCACTACTTCTTTTAATGGGGCACAATTAACTTCAGATTCTGTTTTTTATTTTTTTTAGATTTATTTATTTTTGTTACAAAGTCAGATATACAGAGAGAAAGAGAGATAGAAAGGAAGATCTTCCTTCCAATGATTCACTCCCCAGGTGGCTGCAACGGCTGGTGCTGCACCAATCCAAAGCCGGGAACCAGAAACTTCTTCCAGGCATCCCACACAGGTGTAGGGTCCCAAGGCTTTGGGCCGTCCTCGACTGCTTAAACAGGGCACAGGAAGGGAGCTGGATGGGAGTCAGGGCTGCCAGCAACACAAACCGGTGCCCATATGGGATCCCAGTGCGTGCAAGGCTGTTAGGCTACCGAGCCAGGCACTGTAGATAGCATTTTTACTTTTCAGATGCAACAAAAAGCAAAATCAACTCAAGTTTGCGGTCCGTTTCTAATACTGGCAGCTCCACTTCTCATCCAGCTTCTTACTTGTGGCCTGGGAAAGCAATAGAGGACGGCCAAAAGCCTTGGGACTCTATCCGTGTGGGAGACCCGGCAGAAGCTCCTGGTTCCTGGCTTCAGATCAGCTCGGCTTACATGGGGAGTGACCAGTGGATGGAGATATTTCTCTGTAAATCTGACTTTCCAATTAAAAAAACTAAAAATTGCAGCTTGAAATATAAACTGCTTTTTTAAAAAAAGAAATACAAACTGTTCAAAAGCACTGTGGTGACTTGTTTTGTCACATGCATTGTTATTACTACTCAATCCATTTGATACACACAGCAGGAGAGGAGAGCAGAGCAGAACAGCCAGTCACCTCGGAGTCTGAGCTCAGTTCTACTAAGGTACTTGCTGGCTGCCAAACAATGTCTCATCTGGGAGTCAGAGGAATCAGTAATTCAGTCAACAGGATTACAGGAGGACAATATATGTAAATTGTCTAACAACAGAGGGTCCGGTGTGGTAGCCTAGGGCTAAAGTCCTCACCTCACAAACACTGGGGTCCTATAGGGCCACTGGTTCTAATCCCCATAGCCCCACTTCCCATCCAGCTCCCTGCTTGTGGCCTGGGAAATCAGTCAAGGACAGCCTAATGCCTTGGGACCCTGCACCCATGTGGGAGACCTGGAAGAGGCTCCAGACTCCTGGCTTCGGACTGGCTCAGCTGCAGCTGATTTGGCTGCTTGGGAAGTGAATCATCGGATGGAAGATTTTACTCTGTTTTTCCTGCTCTCTGTATATCTGACTTTTCAATAAAAAATAAATAAATCTTAAAAAAAAAAAAAAACAATCCCTAATAGATACATGGCAGATATTAAACAAATTACCATGTTACTAAAAGGGCGGGTGCTCGGCTTTCTGCTGATGATGTCCTGTGGGAGCCTGCATTTCATACCAGAGTGCCTGTCTTACCCTGGTTATTCTGTCTGAGCCAGCTTCCTGTTGCTGCAGACCTTGGGAAGCAATCGGTGATGGCTCCAGTCCCGGGAGCCTGGCACCACGTGGGAGACTTGGACTGAGCTCACATCTTCTGCTTGTCACCTGTCTACAAGCCAGGCTATTCAGGGCCAGGCTATTCAGGGCGTGAACTAATAAATAACATATATGCTTAATGCCTTTCAAAATAATTTTTAAAAATTCTGAAAATGTCCACAACTACAGAAGTTCTTTCTATTTTGCAGATGTTAAAAAAAAATAAGTTAATCAAGAAAGCACATGCAAATATATATATATTCCCTAAATGACACAGCAGAGCAAAGCTTAAGTTCATTAGCAGACAATGGCTTCAGCAAAATATCACAAGCATTCAACAAGTATTGAGAGAGCTGAGACGGTTTCAGGTGTAATTGGAATGGCTATTACTTTATCAATCTATGATAAGGACTAACCCCATGACTTACCATATTTAGTAACTCAGGGCCCTTGACAGATATAAAGTTTAGTCCAGATTCATTTGCCACAGCCTAACAAGAGGAAACAAAAATATATAAATTAGGCAAATCATACAACGAAATAGTAAGTAAGAGCCCATGAAGATGCATAGACGTGGCTTTTACCCTACTTTGTCATTTTTATAATCCCCAACACTTTTTAAATGTCTATTTATTTTAATCTACCTGAAGGGGTGAAAGAGACCTGCTGGCTTTCTCCCTGAATGGCTCCAACGAACAGGGCTGGTCCAAGGGAAAGCAAGAAACCTTGTACCCGCTCTGCCTCTCCCAATGGGAGACAGGAATCCAAGCATGGAGCCATCCTCCATTGTCTGGTGGGATGCATTATCAGGAAGCTAAAGCATTGGTGGATTAACATGAAAAAAAAATTTACACTGATGTTAATTTGGTATCACCATGCCAACCTGACCCTTTATTTATAGAAAAGAGACAAATGGCAAAAGACATCAAAAGAAAATCAATAAAGGGAAGCTTAACCCAGCAATTCACAACACTTGCCCACAAGCTACGAGGTATCTCTCTCACTCGCTCTCTTTAGGAAAAAAAATGAAACAAAACCAAAAAACACAGATACCATTTTGGAAGTACAGACCATTTCAGAGCACCGGGGTTCAGATCTCAGCTCCAACTACCATTTGAGTTTGCAGCTGCTAACGCACACCCGGAAAGCAGCAGGTGATGCTCCAGCACCTGAGCCCCTAACAGCCACGTGGAGATTCGGATCGAGTTACAAGCTGGGGGAATCTCCTGGCACAAGTCTTTATGCAATAAAGCAGCTGACCGAAGATGCCTCGCTCAGAAGACTGAAGCTCTGCCTGTCTTCCTTTCAAATACATAAACATGGGGGCTGACATGGTGGATCAACAGGGTAATCCTCTACCCCCACAGTACTAGCATCCTATATGGACAAGAAGCGGTGTCCCGGCTACTCCCCAAAGACCTTCTTGCTTCTGGACTGGGAAAGTAGTAGCAGACAGCCCAAAGCCGTGGTACTTTGTGCCCATGTGAAAGAGTCAGAAATGGTTCCTGCCTTCCAGCTTCGGATAAACTTAGCTCTGGCACTGAACTCCTTTGGGGTGTGAACTAGCAGATGGAAGACCTATTCTCTGTCTCCTCTCTCTGTAAAAATCTGCCTTTCCAATACATTAGAACAAACTATTTTTAAAAAGTTGTACAAAGGAGGCTATATTATTGCTTTTTAAAAATTAATTGAGTTATAATTGATTTGAATATTTTTCAATGTTCTTTGTAATAAAATACACACATACAAAGCAACACCAAACATAAACACTATGCAAAATGTTCCTACCCAAACCAAGTTTCAGGGTTTTATACTGATTTTGTAACAGAAATTAAATGAAATATTTATCTCAGTATAACACCCAAATTAATTTTTCTTATCCTACCTCAGTCAAACACAAAATACACACAGCTGAATGTAAACACACCTTCGCCAGAAGAGTTTTCCCACAGCCAGGAGGGCCAACAAGAAGGACTCCAGCTGGGCTCACCAATCCAAGAGCTTTGAACAGGTCTGGTTCCCGAATTGGTGTCTGGAAAACACAATGGGAACAACATATGGGTTGGTTGTGTTCATTCTACACTGGATGTCCAAATGATCTCAAGACACTTGTTCTCAACCATATGTGAGGCCCGCAGATACGAATGGCACCTGTGTCCCAATGGGTCCACTTCCCATCCTGCTTCACTCGTGGGCTGGGAAAGCAGTCGAGGACAGCCCAAAGAGTTGGGACCCTGCAAACACATGGGAGACCAGGAAGAAGCTCCTGGCTCCTGACTGGCTCAGCTCTGGCAATTGTGGCCAACTGAGGAGTAAACCAATGGATGCAGGCTCTTTCTCTTTGCATCTCCTCCTCTCCGTATAACTGCCTTTCCAATATAAAAATAAAAACTGGGACTGGTGGCGTGGCCTAGTGGCTAAAGTCCTCGCCATGAATGCGCCGTGATCCCATATGAGCACTGGTTCTAATCCCGGCAGCTCCACTTCCCATCCAGCTCCATGCTTGTGGCCTGGGAAAGCAGTCGAGGATGGCCCAAAGCCTTGGGAACCTGCACCCGTGTGGGACACCCGGGGGAAGTTCCTGGCTCCTGGCTTCGGATCAGCACAGCACTGGCCGTGGCGCTTACTTGGAGAGTGAGTGAATCATTGGACAGAAGATAATCCTCTCTGTCTCTCCTCTTCTCTGTATATCTGACTTTTCAATAAATAAATAAATCTTTTAAAAAATAAATAAATAAAAAATAAAAAAAGTTAAAGTGAATAAGTCTTCAAAAATAAAAAAAAGTCAAGCAATAAGATTTGGCACTAAACAGATCTAGAAGGATTGAAAACCATTCCTGGATTCTTTTCTGGTTCTTAAGAGTGATGATTGGCTTGACACACAGTTGTGGGACAAGAGACTCCCTCTAAACTTTGTTATGGTGTTGGTACATTACCCATAAGAAGTGGGGAAAAAAAGCCAACCACACACACAAACAAAAAATTCTTCGGGTTTAGTACCAAGAAAGAACATATTCTTTAGAAAATAAATCTAAACACACAGTCTTGCATACAAGTACGCTCCTGTAATTCCTTCCAGGACTTAAGACATCTTATGCCAGTGACACTTAGGAGCTGAAGAACGTACCACTATTGCCATGGTAAGCTCTTCTCTGATATCTTCCAGGGCACCAACATCTTCCCATGTCACACTGGGAACAGTGACAAAGCCTTCTCTTTTGGCAGAAGGTTGCACTGCTGACAGAGCAACAATGAAATCATTCAGTTCAATACACAGTCCGTGCATCTGCTCCTCGGAGAGAGGACTGTGGTCTCTTAGCAATTCCAACAGCCTTTGTAACTCATCCTTAAAGAGAACAATTCAGGGAAGAAGATGAAAAAATTATACAGTTTGTTAAAGTGGCATTTCTATGTCTGTAAGAATTATTATGGGGTGGGAATCTGAAGTAAGACCAGCTAATTTTACTCTGAAAGAATCAATAAATTGGACAAGTTACACCAACTACAATCTAAACAGGTAGGATGTTATTTATATTAAACTATAATAAGATAGAGCAGTTGGAAAATATTTTTGAGAAAATTTAATGTCCTTCATTTCGTATATATATCCATGAAGCAAACGTATTTTGATGAAATTACAAAAAAGTGACTCCACTAGTGACCTTTTATTATATGTCTTAATTATATGGCTTAACAACTCAGCTCAAACCAGGCAACTCATTGTTACATCGATGCTCAAAGGTAGGTTTTTTTTGTTTGTTTGTTTAACAAAGAACATGAAAACAGATGTATTAAAAATACATAAATTGGAGCAATTTAATTTTTAAAATTCTAGATTATTTTTTAATAGAAATAATTTGAAAACAGCTTTCAGGGATCAAGACCCTGCGCTTTAAAGGAGAGGCTGAGTAGCCCTGGGCAGATCCTGATCCCTTCTGCTTAGTGACTGATCGATTATACAGCGGGAAAACAATGGTATCTACCTCAGGGGTTATAGGGACCAAATTATAGAACATAAACACGTCGCTCATAAAACACTACAAATTAGCTCTCCAGGGCTCCTGGTAGTTAGGGACAAGGAGCTGGTTCCATCAGGAAGTCTTCCTGTGTGCTCACCCAAAGCTACACAGGAAGTAAACTTAAACGGCAGCACTGTAAAGGCATTGGCAAACTTCTCCAAGGACTAAATGCCACCTGTGTTGACACTAGCCGGAACGTGAGATAAACACAGAGCACACGGAAAGCGCAGGCTCAAGGGCCGTGGCAGGAACTACCTGCAATGCAGAGGAGGGCTCAGCTTCCCGAGGCTCCTGGCCTGCTCCAGACGGCAACCCTTGGGCTAACAGATGCTTCTGCTCTTCCTGCTGCAGGTTCACGAGGATCCTGTTGACTGCGCACATGGCGGCCTCCCGGCAGAGTGCCATCAGATCAGCACCAACAAAGCCTGGTGTCAGGTGTGCTAAGTGACAAAAGTTGAATGATTCAGGAAGTCTGAGTTTCCTACACAAAGTTTGAAGTATCCTATGGAAATAACAAGGGTAGATCCTCAGATTCCAAACATAAAAAGGACAAACAAGTCAGCAAATACACTAATTTGAAACCTTTCACATCTGTTACTGGTATCACAATGGAAACGAGAGCTTTCATTCACACCTCAAATGCTAAATCACTATTACATATCCCAAATTACTCCAAGATTATGATCAAGCTATTTACTCTGTTAGGAGCTACATTAATTACTGTGAGAGTCAAAGGCAGACTTTTCTTCTAAAACTTTCTGTATTGTACATGAAAGTCAGACTTTACACCGGCTTAATCCTCAAATGGGCATAATGGAAGCTGGGAGAAAGGGGCTATTTGCAGTTCTCGCACATGGCCACTGGGGCCCAAGGCTTGTGCCATCCTCCACTGCTTTGCTAGGTGATTAGCAGGGAGCTTAATCAGAAGTTGAACAGCTGGGACTCGAACCAGCATCCACATGGGTTGCAGGTGCTACAGAGCAGGTCAGGAGATGACTGCAGCAGCCGTCTGGAGAGTCCCCAAGTGACTGGAAGATTGGTACCTCTCTCTCTCTCTCTTTTTTTTTTTTTCAGATTTTTTATTGGAAAGTGGATATACAGAAAGGAGGAGAGACAGAGAGGAAGATCTTCCGTCCGATGATTCACTCCCCAAGTGAGTGCAACGGCTGGAGCTGAGACAATCTGAAGCCGGGAGACTCCTCTGAGTCTCCCACACGGGTGCAGGGTCCCAAAGTCTTGAGCCGTCCTCGACTGCAATCCCAGGCCACAGGCAGGGAGCTGGATGGGAAGCAGGGCTGCTGGGATTAGAACCAGTGACCACTTGGGATCCCAGTGCATATAAGGCGAGAACTTTAACCACTTTACTATTATGCTGGGCCCGGGACCTCTATTTTTGTCTCCAAGTTGTCCTTTCAAATAAATAAATCTTAAACACACTAGAAACATATTTTTAAGCTAGAATTCTACACCACTGCCAGACAGTGCTTCCCAAGAAGGAGTCAGTTACTGAGTTCTAGTTTTGGCTACTGATGGGCATTTTCAGCCTTCAATGGGCATCTAAACCCAGTTCCAGAGAAGGCTGATCTTGTAGCAAATATGGCTGTGATTTGGTTAACTGTCATGGCTTGTGCAGTCTTAGCCATATTCAAGTGTAGTGCATAGATGTAACTCCTCTAGGGAGTACACGGCAAAGCTCTTCCACAGCTCTAGGCACTGTGTATAAGTTGCTCCACCAAATATCAACCAGAAACAAAGTTCATGAGACCAGACAAATCAGTGTTGACACATAAGCCCATCACTAAAACTGAAAACAGGGCCTGCTGCGGTAGTTTAGCGGCTAAAGTCATTGCCTTGCACATACCCAGGATCCCATATGAGCACCAGTTCTAATCCCGGCAGCCCTGCTTCCCATTCAGCTCCCTGCTTGTGGCCTGGGAAAGCAGTCAAGGACGGCCCAAAGCCTTGAGACCCTGCACATAAGGAAGACCTGGCAGATGATTTGGGCCCCTGGTTCGGATCGGCACAACACTGGCCACTGTAGCCACTTGGGAGTGAATCCTCTCTTTCTCTCCTATCTGTATATCTGACTTTGCAATAAAATTAAATAAATCTTTAAAAAAATGAAAAAATTTTAAATACTTTCAGTGATACCAAAAAAAAAGGAAAAAAAGAAAAGAAAAGGACTGTATTGCGTTTCTTACACCTTGTTTTCATGGCACTCAGGACAGTTGACAGAACTGGATGCAAACCCCATTTTATAACAACATACCTCACTCTGGATGCTTCATCCGGTATGCCCAGGCATATTTCTCGGTCAAACCTGCCTGCACGCCTCAAAGCAGGGTCTAATGCGTCAGGGCGATTTGTCGCTCCGATGACCAGGACCTGAGCTGTGGCAGGCATGTTATTCAGATCTAAAAGAGCGAAACACTGTGGTAAGTCACCTGACAGCAAGGATGTGATGTCTGCTGGAATCACTCAGTAGTTGGTGGTTTCTTGTTTGGACACACTGTATTTACAAGTGTAACATTTAGGGGCACGTGTTGTGGTGCACAGGATAAGAAAGGATAAGATGCCATTCGGGACACCAGGAGACCTGGTTACTCTATTTGTTGTAACTCAGATCCTTGCTGATGTACCTGGGAAAGAAGTAAAACAGTCCAAGTGTATGGAACCCTACCACACGTATGTGAGACCAGAAACGGGGTCCTTGCCTTCTGATGAGCCTGGCCACGTGAGGCTATCACGTATGTGAGACCAGAAACGGGGCCCTTGCCTTCTGGTGAGCCTGGCCACGTGAGGCTATGAAGCCCAAGTTAGGAGTGAACAACTTTCTGGGAGATCACTTTCCCTATCCCCTGTGTGTGTGTGTGTGTGTATTTTTTAAAGGGATTTCTGGGATAAGAAAAGAGGAAAATGGACAACACTCATGTCAGGCCCAACAGGATGGCTTGATTGGCTAACCCTCACGCTCGCAAGTGCCAGCCCCTAACTGAACACCAGTACGCTGCCCTGGCTGCTCCGGTTCCCACTCAGCTCCAGGCTAACGTGCCTGGGAAAGCAGTAGAGCACTCCTCAAAGCCTTGCTTGGGCTGCTGCACCTGAGTGAGAGACCCAGGAGAAACTGCCCCTGGCTTCAGATCAGCTCAGCTCTGGCCATTGCAGTCACTTGAGAAATGATTTAGCAGAAAGAAAATCTGTCTCTCTGTAAATCTGTCTTTCTAATAAAATAAATCTTTTAAAGAAAGAAAAATGATTATATCATTGACAGCTGCAGGCAACGTGAGTGTTTGGGAAGTGAACCAGTGGTTGGAAGACCTTGCTGTCTCTCCCTTCTCTCTGTAAATCTGCTTTTCTGATAAAAATAAACAAATAATTCAGAAAAAAAGAAAAACAAAAGACACTTAGATTCCATTTATGTGTGCCTGGGTATGTGACTCCTAGCTCCAGTTTCACACTCCAGTAGTGAAGACCCTGCCAGCGGCAGGCAGATCGGGAAGACCTGGGCTGAGTTCTGTTCCCTGGCTCCCGTTGGGTTGTTACAGGCTTCTGAGGAGCAAAGCAATGCACGGGAGTTGTCTTTATCTAACGGGCTCGCTTATGCTTGAAGAAATATAAACATAAAATCAATCAGTTCCCGGTTCCTGGCTTTGCCCTGGCCCAGCCCTGGCTGTTGCAGGCATTTAGGGAGTAGATCAATACATGAAGATTTCTTTTTTACTCATTCACTATAACTTTCAGACAAATTGAAATTAAAAAAATTCTTCAGAAAAGCAATGCCAAATGAGATAAAATACATTTAAATGGCACTATTTCCCAAACATACAATTCAAGTACAAATAGCAAGTTAAAAAACAATGGATATGAAGTAATCCCAGCAGTGTCAAAAGTCAGAAAATATTAATGTGTATATGTATGTAAATGCAT